CCTGCCTGGAACACACTCAGGCAATAAAAGCATTCAGCCAAAAGAAAATTAGCTATGGCTGCTTCCACAGGGAGAAACACAGAATGCAAATGTTCTCTCATAGAGAAGGAATTTGAGAAGAATGTCAAATGAAGTCTGCTTTTTACCTTTCCATAGGACAAGGAAGACTGAAATAAGGGGGGCTTAATGTTTCTGAAAAAGCCTTTTATATCTACATTAGAAAAAAGCAGATTTGCTGGAAAAGGTCTGAAGAAAACCAGATAAACCTTCAGCAAACCTTCACCTGGAATAACCTATTTGCTTTGTTGTTAGTGAGAATACCCTTAGACAACTCAAATTTGGACACTATCATGATATGTTAACAGAAGACTGTGTCACACAAAACATACGACATTTCTTAGATGTTTCTGTTTTCAGCACTTATTTCACTAAAGGAAAACTGTTCTTCCAGAGCTGAAAGTACTAATATTAATTTTCTTTTTAAGAACAAGGTGAATAGTGTTTACCAGGATTAAGCAAAAGGCAAAAACATTTACAATGGAAAGGTAGTCAAAATATAAACTGGGGGGGGGAAAAAACAGCTTTTTTTCTTTGCTTTTTTTCCTCCAGAAAATATACCTGCTCTGGACAACATATTAGTAGTACTTGTTTACAATGAAGAAAGGCTTTATGAACCAAAATAGTGTCCTGCCTCATAACCAGTTTAGATTCAGGATTTTACTTCCTTAGAGGATTTTTATTGTTTAGTTTGGTTGGGTTTTGTTAAGTCTTATTTTTCCAGAACAGCATTCAAATGGCCATTTTTATTTATTTATTTTAAAGCTGGTGCTTGATCTTGAGCCATAAAAAATTTATAGCTATGTAAATTCACTGCAAGAGAGGAAAACAACTAGACTTTCTTTTTTTATTTATATAAAAGGGTTTAAATTAATTTTACAACAGTATGTTAAAAGAAAAGTTGACCATTTTAACACAGACATTTAAAAGATACGTAGAACTGTTTTGTTTTGTCCGTACCCAGCTTTCTATTAGCAAAAAAATAAGAGAGAAAGAAAACCCTTATCTTTCTTCTGTTTCACAGCTGTCAGTGTTCAGGCAGATGGCAAGGACAAAATGTAATTTAGTCAGAATTCATTAAGTACAATTAGGCAATTTGATAGCAATATAAAAGATTAAGTTGGACATCTGAGCTAGGAGGTGTCAAAGACGGCACCTGTTTGCTTCGTTCAAAAATAATGAAGAGAGAAAACCATCTTTGTTAACAGTGAAGGAAGTTACCTGTAGGATCAGAGCTTTGTGCTACAATGCTGTGCTATGGTTGCACATGGACAGGCATGTAGAGAAAAATCTATTGCTCTGCCTGGTAAAAATTAGCTAGCATTAATGTGATTAATATCATGTAAGAGGGGAAAAAAGGTGACAAGAAAAAAAAAGGCCTAAAACCTCAACCTTTCCATGCTAACTGTTCTGTTATAGGAAAAAAACAGAATTGGAAACAGTTGTTGAATTTTTAGAAGGATGCCTATATTAGACTGGTTGTCATGACACACAATACTTACGTAAATTCTGTCCTTACTGTATCGAACTTTGATATTGTGAAGGAGAGTGGCCTCATTTAAATACATCAGGGAACCTGAAAGAAAAATGCAGTCACATACCATTAATAGCTCAGGACTGTCTTCTTTTACAGATGAAAAAACCAAGACTAAGGATTAAGGAGAATTTTATTTCCCTTCTCTTTGGTTACAGTTTAATCCTATCATTTCTTCACACTGTCTTGAGGCAGAACTGCTGATTCAATATAGACTTTAAGAACCACATACCTGCTCTTTACTGGGCAATTAGAGTTACAGAAAAGTTGCTGAACAAAGAGTCAGACTGCAGGAGACACAGGATCTGCTCAGCATAAACTCTTTTTACCAGCCTCAGTCGGATATAGTGTGTGTCCCTTCACACCTGCCCCTATGCACAGAAATTGGTGCCTACCAAAATCCCTAGCAATGGGTGTTTTCTTCCATCCAGCTCCCTTCTCCAATCTCATCCAGAGCATCCCTAGGGTAATGCTGCCCAAGAGACATTTGGAATAACAGCTGGCTCCTGGTGATTTTTGAATCGGCGAATATAAACATCTAATCAAGAAAACTGTCTGGAGACAGCAACAGGCATCATTGCACCACCAGGCACCAACCCAACCTTTCCTGCTACAATTCTGAATTTTGTTGCTGCTAGGCCTCCTCAGAGAAATTGGTACAGAAAGCTTCAGACCATACAGGTTCACAATCAGGCAATACAGGTCCTTGTTTTCAGCTATAAAGCTCTGGAAAGTGTCAGCAACCTTAATTACAGCCATGATTACCAGTTCCCATTGCAACACTGTTAAAAACATTATCCCCAAACCTAGGGCACTCCTCATTACACAGCCTCCATTCTCAAATATGCTCAATCCTTTTTATCTCACTGCTTAAAATTCAAATGCACAGCACTATTTTCTCTAGTTACAACTGACTGACTGCCATACTGATAAACCTTACAGTATTGGAGCCACTTAAAAAGTTTTATATATCTAACTACTGTAAATGGAGTAAGCACTGTGACTGTAATAATAACTGCTACCCTGCACCTCACACAAGGGTCACATATGCACCTCTCATCTATAATGACCAACAAAGTTGTTTCAAGTTGGACTGGATTTCTCAAGGGCTCCAGTAGCCAAACAAAGTATTCTGACTTATGTACACAAACGTGCAAGAAGGGCTCCCAGTTCATATGACCTAAAGTCAGTCTGCCCAGACACCTCACCCTGCAAGGATGCCTGAAACTCAGTAAGCAGCTCTAAACATCTCCTTCAATACTCCTCCGGCTGAACCAGAATATACTGGCAAAGGATGATGGGTGCTTCTCAAAAGCATCTCTGTTTATATTTTCAATCTTTTGCCCTTCCTTCTGCAGTGGACCAAGGAGTGGTCAAGGCTCTGTCTCCTACTACCCACACCAAACAGGCACATCAGGCTGGCCTGAAGCAAAGTCAGGCTCAGCAGCCAATTGCAGGCTCTCTTTGGCTTGTATAGCTTCACTAAATAACAGACTTTCCTTCCCTGGCATGACTAAATACAGCTTTGCTTCAAATGCCTGGAATCATCCATGCTTCTCAAAGGACATTCCAGCTCCTATGTTGTTCAGAGGAAAACATCTTCCTCCACAAAATCCCTTGCGCTCGTATTCCTGTGTTGGCAAAGGCACAGAAGGCACACTTTAGCTTCACACTAAGCAAATTCTCCCTTTGGATCACAACAGCCTTGAAACTGTGCCTATGCACAATTCCTTCATGAAGCAGCAAGTTGACTCCCATCCCCTGGGCTTTTCCCCTGCCACCCCAGCAGGGAAACATCCCCCTGAAACTGCATGGTCACTGATGGGTGCAGCAATCAAGAGCAGACACCCAGCACTGCACAGCAGGACTTGCCCTCCCCTCCCCAGGCACACTCAGTTGACAGAACTGAGAAAACAGCACTGGGACCACAAACTGCAGATCTGCCTTCATCTCATTTAATAAAATCATCCCAAGAGAGAGACATTACAAGAAAATGGGGCAGAAACAGAAACTTCTGCTTGCTCTAATAAAGTTAAAGTCTCCTTCTCCCCCCGTGAATGCCTGGGGGAGAACAGGGTGTTAAAAAATAAGCAAACTCCAAAAGTTAAGTCATTTGGATTCTCAGTATTGAGATAAGAAACAATTATAGAGTAATTGTCTATCAACTCCTTTGCCTGTATCATACAATCATAGTCTAGAGCATTATGCTATGAAGACAGGCTGAGGAAGTTGGGGTTGTTCAGCCTGGAGAAGAGAAGACTGTGCAGAGACCCCATAGTAGCCTTTCAATATCTGAAGGGACTACAGGTGAGCCAGAGAGGGACTCTGTTAGGAACTGCAACAATAGGACAAGGGGTAATGGGTTCAAATTGAAGGAGGAGAAATTTAGGTTAGATATTAGGAAAAAGGTTTTTCCTGTGAGGGTGCTAAGATACTGGAACAGGTTGCCCAGGGAGGCTGTGGCTGCCCCAGCCCTGGCAGTGTTCAAAACCAGGTTGGATGAAACCTTGAGCAACCTGGTCTAGTGGGGAGGTGTCCCAGCCCATGATAGGAGGGGTTGGGACTCTTCTTAAGAACCTCTCAGAGTTTGCAACATGAGTTAAAGGAAAGACTTAATCATCAGCTTTTTATTAGGATGCTTACGTAAACAGAAAAGGACTTCAAATTTCATTGTGTTTCCAGTAGTCTCTTTGCAAATCCTTGTCCAAGCAGTTATACCTACAGACTCAGTGTGCAATGGGAGCTTGTTCCTAGAGGGAATGTCACCACCTCCACTGAAGACATGCAAACTAAGGCTTATGTCAGCAACTTCAAAATGTTCCTCATTTAGAATAAATCCTTTAAAAGAGACATACATATCCAGAGGCACAGGAAGTCAAAGAGTGAATTCTGAATATTCATATGGCTCATGCCTAAATATAACCAGTGTATGTATGTGGATTTAGTTGCCCATACATTTACTCATACACACACAAAGTTCACATAAGTGAAGTCAGGCACTAAAAGCTAGGAAGTATCAATGTCAAATTTACTCACACTGACTTTCCTGCAAACACACTGAAGCAGGATTTGTATGGAAAATTATTTTATCACGTAATTGCAAGGGTGGCCAAAAGAGGAGTGTGAATCACAAAAATACAAAGAAGTAAATGCTTTGTTTCTCTGCTGTTTGCAATATTTACTAAAAATTCTCATTTGAGGAAGGGCTAGATACTCAAAGAGGTGCTGCTTGCAGCCAGTGCATTTGGGATATGGAAGACAAAGGGTGCAAAAAAGAAGAATGTCAGCAAATTAGTTCCTAGAAGGAAGTTAATCACTAAAGCATAGCTTGGAATGGTAAGTGTATTATTAACCAGTCTTTCAGGATTTTTCAGGACAGTATTATAAGGACCCAGTATAGATTTTTTTTTTTTCTTAAAGATCAACAACACTCAGCACAAATGCTCTCTGACAGGGAAGGAAAATGAAGCTGGGATTCACATATCCTGCAGATAAACTGCAATTAGTGAGCAGCAAGTGAGAATACATTAGAAATGTCAAAATAATGTTTGATAAAGAAAGGATTACTGGACAAAGTATTTTTAAGTTTTACTTAGTAAGCCAAAGAAGACATTTTCTCTGACTAACATAATTAAAAAATATTCTGCTGGAATCTCAAACGATTTCCATAATCTCACTCCAAATTTCTATTCCCTGACTAGGAGACTGAGGTGCCAGGACATCTCAGTAAAATCGTTGTGACAGATGCACAGATGAAAGGCATTTCCCTAGCAATCATCATGTGCAGAGAATGCAGATGCCAGCTTTGAAAAGTTTCATCCCACATCCTGTTTGCAAAAATATAAGCAACTGGAAGCAAGGCTACCAGCTTGGTTCTAACTGTAATAACACTGCACCATCTAAGTCAAATCATAAGACTCAGATCTCTTCTTTTTGTTTCTTATAGAGCAGCTGTAACAGCTGTATTTCCTGTCATGGGATATAAATACTAAACCCTATTCCAAGACAGGAATTGTGGTTCCATCACCTAAACAACTTTCAGACTATCAGCCTCTATTTTAACTGAAGAACAATAGAAGCTACTTTTGCCTGTTATTTACAAAGTCATCAATATTTTTACCAACCAGTGAATGCTGCAGGAAATGTTGGAAAGATTTGCCTTCATCAGGTATTCAAGACAGGAGAGATTCTGTGATTTGCTCACACAGAGCAGCAGCAGCAAAATATTTGTTAAATAGTTTTCTAAAAACTGATCCTGGTGCTTACTCAGCTTTCTCAGTATTCTCTCCCGTCTCCCCTGATTTGGCTGCCATTTCCATCCATCTGACTACAAAACATTTAAGAAAATAAAAGTCCTCTGTAATAAATCTCACTGTTATCTACAAGTTCACCTCCAAACTTCTCCAGCTGCATTCTTGCACCCAATTCAACTATTTCCTTTTCCAGTGGCCCTGATTGGTTTGGATTCCCATCTCTAATTTGGGGAGTTATCTTAAAATTTATTTTCCATTACTCGCACTTCCACAGGAATGCTATCTGAGAATTGGGTTACATGCAGGAAAATGTTGTATTGCTGATAAACCAAGTAAGTCTTTTGCCACAGTATAAAAAAATACAGTTACTCCTATAATGCTGAACACAATTGATCCTGAGGTAGTTAGGTGACATCTGAAATACTTCTGGGGGAACCATCAGTTCCTTTAAAGTGTCCAGCTGAAAACTAAAAACCACAATAAATTATATTTAAAATGGGCTGACTTTAATAAGTTTAAAGGACTAGTAAAGGTCATACTTAAATTCAACTGAAGACTACAAGGAAAAACCAGGAAGTTTGTAAGGAAACAATATTCTCTTCATGGCAGATTTTTTTTTTTCAAATAAATAATTTATTTTTAAATTCATAACTTACAATTATCTTCTACATCCTTTTTGCTATCCTCTTCTGCAGGAAACACTTGATTGATAGCAGCCTGGAAAGTCTGTTAGATGAGAAACATTAACACTGTCAGAATTCCATAAAACAAATATAGCTCAAAGGTGTCTGATGCAATGATATAAGTGAGTGCACTGTAATTGTACATGATTTAGAGTGAAGCTGTCAGCTTTATACTCCAGCATTAGAAATTTTACTGAGTTACTAGATGCAGATAGAAGCTGCTGCATTTATATTACTATACCACATTATAAAAATGAAGTCGCTGTAATACATATTTTACTGCTATAATATTTGATCCTGCTATAAAAAAAATTGCATGTAATATTGTGCAATATAAAAAATAAGAATAAAATTAAGTGCTGCACAGGGAACAGCATTGTAAATGACACACAACTTCCTCAGTTTCATGAAAGATGAAAGAATAAAACCCAAATTATTAGTTCAAAGGCCTGTGCTG